AAAACATCTATTTCATTACTTCCATTACTCAGTCTCCAAACTCACTAAACCCATATCCTACAAATCTCCATAACCCCCGAAAAGCCTACAAACTACTAGCTATAGTCAGCATCATGTCCATTGTCATGCATATGCATTACAAACTACTACCTAATCATTGGGTACTCTCGCTTTATTTTATTTGCTCGAGTGCTCTCACTTTATAAGTAGTTCATCAAATTAAAACCAAGTAGATCCTCATAAAAGCATAGGGGCAAAAATGATAAATCAATTTTTTTAACTTTACAGTGTAAATTGTTATCTAAAATTGCATTGGTTTTTCATGACAATCACATTATCTCCATTAACTATAATGTGATTGCAATATAATTCTACATTGTGTTAATTTTTTTCTTACTAAATGTTGTAATATAATTTAAAAGGTCACATTGTAAGAAATGTTAGTGCAGATCCTTATACCAAACGTCTTCAAAAAAAATTGCTCGAAAGATAATTTTACAGTATTTAGTATATATAAAAAAATTTTATTAATATCTTAAAAATTAACCTTAAAACGTTTGATTTATAAATACTTTATTAAGAATGTGATATTAATTTTCATAATTATAATTATATTCAAATGCAAATTTAATATAGTAAACTTTTTAATTTTCAATTTTATAGATTAAGTTGTTAAATAATAACATGACAACAATGAGGAGAGATGTTGCAATGCCACATTCACCAAAAATTTTGAGTACCCAGTGTGAGTTGTGATAGGATTCTCTCAAATTTCCCTTTGAAACAATAATAGAACAACTGAAAATAGTTGTTGTAAGATCATTTCACCATCAAATATTTAGTATTGATTTGTGATGGGATTCTCTCTTTTCTCTCTTTTGTAGTTCATGTTGCATTTACTGGTGGTATGCAAATGGCTTTGTTAAGAAATGTTGCCTTTTAAAGCTGATTTAGTTCTTGTTGAGACTAAGTATTTTGAGCAAACCCACATCTTAAAAAGATTCACAAATTGTTGTAGGGAAGTGAGTTGATGTCCTCAATGGCTACCTCCCTCTTTTACATATTCACCTCTTTCTTCATCCCATTCTCAGTTCATGTTTATCATCTTTTCAACATGAGAGCCTGGTTTGGTATGGACTCAAATCCGAAGACAAGTTGGAAGGATAAACTCCATTATAAAATGTCTAATAATAAGGCCCAAATTTCACAAAAGCGTGATGTTATTTGGGACCCAATTTGTCACTTAATCCACAAAATAGTTATTACTTTAATAGTGGCAAGTTCATTCACCCAATGATATTTGGTTTGCTCTCTCTTTGCTAGCATCCTATTGGCACGTCTGATATTTGTGATACGGATTTTATATTAATAAGAGATTAGATGAATTTTAAATTTATAAATAAGAAATTTTTTTTACTTATCATGTATGTTTTTTAAATTAAAAATATGAGTTTATGACAAGTGATATCAAAATAAATCCAAATCTTTATTAATATGAGACTCCTAAAAAAGATACCAAAATTGATAAATCTTATATTAATAAGAGATTAGGTCAATTTTACCATTATAAATAACAACGTACCTCCACTAAATAAGTATGTTTTTTGAGTTAAAAACGTTATTCCGTATCAAAAGTCATATGAGAGTTGCCAAGAGAAATGATGCAATGTGCTTACTTTTGGAGGTCAAGAACGAGTCCCACTAGACGGAAGAATTGAATAATCATCAAGTTACAATTAATTGCTATGTGTCATGACATCTTTAAAATTAAGTGGAGAAGTAATTAGTTCTTTTTTTTTTATTATTTACCTTAAATGATTTCAGAGAATAAATTAATTTTACATATGGTTGAGTTAAAAATGTATTTATTAAGTTAAAAATTGTTATCGGTCATTTACATATTTTTGAATAGTGAAAATTGAGTAATTTTAACAATTCTACTTAACAAAAATAATATAAAATATAAATACACAAATTTGTATTTAACTTTTGGGAACTATATTATAAATTTTAATTTGGGTAAAATATATATATATAAAAGAAATTTCGGCATATTATTGGGAAAAATTTAGCATTGTGTCTAGTAGGAGAAAAAGAGAAAGGAAAAAGAGGTGGAAGGAAAATAACATTTTTTTTCTTTATTTCTTTTATTTGGTAGGAGTGAAATTGGAAAGGGGAAAGAAAATGGATAGATTTGCACATTTTTTCTCTCTCCAAATTAAGAGGAAAATTATTTTTTTATTAATGTTAATTATTTTATTAAAGCATAATATTTTAATTTTTTTGAACTATATAAATAAGTTGATATTCTTTAATTGTATTCAATCATGTAATATATTTTTATTTTGAGTTAAATATATCCTTATAATTAATAGTGAACTAATTGTTGTTAATCAAAACGATAATTGTCATTTTATGCCACGCAGTACGAATGTGGCATACTAAAATGTGATAATGAATGGTGACCTTGTATGCTTACATGGCAAGATAACATTGTGGCTATGTCAATTTTTTGTCCTTTACGTCAACACTGCATTAGTATCACGTAGTTATAAAATAAGAAGTGATATTTTAAATAATAATAATTTATTAATTATTAATTATAAAAACTTATTTGATCCAAAATAAAAATATAAAACTTTAATTGAATGCAATAGAAAAATATTAAAAATTTATTTAAAATTTTTAAAATAATTTAAAATTTTTTAAAGCATTATGCTGTCTTTTGTTTACAATTTTATCTTTAATCTGACTTCATATTACTTTTCATCTTTCATACTTAATATGAAGGAAAAAAAACAAAATTAACTTTTCTTCTTCTCATTTTTTTATATTTTTTAAATTTCACTTTCCTAGTAAAATTGAAGCAATCCCTTCATTTATTTATGACTAAAGGCTCAAATTGAAGCTAAATGTTTGGATTCTTTTTCAATGAAGGATCAAATTTATCATTTGTAATAATTAAGGGTTAAATATTTTCTATTCTTTACAATTAAGACTAAGTTGATAGCGGATGGAGCATGTATCACTCGTGATAGAAAATAGCGTGAGTTGATAACATGACAATTTCGATAAATATAATGTTATATGTCATGTTCTAAAATTTAATTGTTACATGTTATGTTGGAAGTAATTGTTACACGTTATATTGATAAATGTAGTTGTTACACGTTGGTAGTGTTTGGTACTTTACAATACAACGCGATTACAGATAATATGATTGCAAGTAATGTGATTACAAGAAAAATAATATTACAGTGTTTGGTATACAAGTAAAATAATGATTAAAATGTAGGGAAGATAATATTACAGCGTTTGGTTTACAAATACTTTGTAGGGAATGTAATGTTAATTTTCAAAATTGCCCTTATTTATTAAAATGTAAGTTCAATATACTTATATTTTTTATTGTTAATTTTTATATAATATCATCTCTTAAATATATTTTTAATGTCATATATTTATTTTTATTTTATTATAATCTTATATATTTTATTTTTATTTCTTTAATATAATTTTTATATTATATATTTTATTTTAATTTATTTTATTGTATAAATTTTAATTTCTTATATTTTATTTTATTTTAATTTTTAATTCTTATATTATATATTTTATTTTAATTATAACATTATAAAATATTTTTAATAAGGTAATGAAGTTAAAGGGTAAAAATATCTTTAAGAATATTATAGAGTGTAATGTAATGTGATTGTATTAGTTTTGGACTGCAATCACATTACATCCCTTGACTGTAATGTGATTGGATTGCAATTTTACACTGCAGTGGTCTGATATAAAATAAACACTGCAATATAATTTAATTAGGCACATTGCAGGAAATATGTTTCCACTTTCCTCATACCAAACGCTACCATTATGTTAAAAAATACAGTTATTATATGTTATGTTAAAGATATAGTTATTATACACTATATTGAAATTTTAATTGTTACATATTATGTTAAAAATTTAGCGTCCATGTCATGAATTAAAAGCATTTAACTTACACATGTTAGACATCTCTCACTTTAACTCTTTATTATAAAAAATTAAAAAAATTTAATTATTATAATTAAAAATATTTTATTCTTAATTAAAAAAAGCAATTAAGCTACAAATTGAGTATTTAATCTTTATTTTATTTTTTTCAGAGTAAGAAGTTCTAATTGCGGAGATGAGTAAAGGACAAAGGTCTTTTCTGTTGGATTTTGTCCCATGCACAAGTAGGTACTTCCTTATTTGACCATATCTTCCCTTCCCTTGTTTCAATCCTGCGTGGCCCCAACATGACACGTCACCACCTTATGCCAACTTAACTTCATCTTCCAATTTATTTTTAAGGTAAAAAAAAAAAAAAAAACCAAAGCAACAATTATATGTAGAATTATTCTACCAAAACTTATCTCTGCCATTCCAACAAATGCCATTCTATTCCCTTATCCTTTAACTATTTACTCTCATGTTAACCACTAAAACATGCTTTTTCTTTATTCCACAAGTATTATTAAAAGTAATTTAATTACTATTTATGATTTTAATAGATTCATATCCTTTTATTACACTTTAATTAAATTTTGTATTTATATTTTAAATCAATTAAGGATAGATGATTAATTAATTATGATTAATTTAAATATTATTTATTATTTTATATTCACATAACGTTGACATAATATTAATGTAAATAGTAAAAATGATATATAATTATATTATCATATTATATCAATATGTCATATTATTATTTATTATAACATTGCAACATCCTATATGACTTACATTTTAATTAATAAAAATTACTTGATCATTAATTATATGAATTTATTTAATTTAAAATAAAAAAATAAAAAAATTATTACAAATTTTATAAATAATATAAAATTTTTTTAAGTATTATATCTTTTTTACCTTATATCGTCATATATATATACACCCGAATTTGTATGATGGATTCTCCCTTGAAAATGAGAAGAGGAGAGTTGAAGGAAAATAATAATAAAGAAAGGGAAGGAGAGAAGGTTGCATTGCATGTGAAAGTGCCATTTGGCTGTGGGAGGTCTCATGATTTCCAATGGGGACAAACCCATGAGTACCAAAGCAAACAAAAGAATTTGGGCCAATTAAAACACTTTTGGTCCCTATATTAGTATAAAACTTTTAAAAAAAAATTGGGCATTTCAATTTGTTTTTTTGGGGACTTGCTCTTTTCCTCTCCTTCCACCAAAGCTTTGTTCCTCTGCAAATGCACACGCTCTCAATCTCCACTCTCTCCAAATCCAAGTAAGCTTTCCTTTTTTTTTTGTTCTTTCTTTTGTTTCTTTTCTTTTGAACCCTCCTTTTCATTTTGTTTTACTGACTTTGTTTGTTTTAAGGTTGTATTTCATCTTGTTCTTTTTGGTTGTTGTTGTGGGCAGTTACTTTTCTGGGTTCTTCTTATTTTTCCTTGGTCTTAGTCTTGTAATAAAGAAAAAAAAAATCCTTAGCTTTGATCCTGTTTTGGGTTTTTCCTTGTCTTTCCATTCAGATTTGTTTCAATATTTTTCTTTTTTTTTGTTAGCTCTCATTTCAAAGCCTCTGATTTTTGTTTCATGCAAAATGTTTATCCTTTTTCATTTAATGGTGTAATCTGGGGATTTGTTAATGCTTATGATTCTGTGAAATTTTTGTTTTGTAATTTGCTCAATGGAAGCTCAAGTTTTTCCATTTCCATTTGCATGCAACAGATTATAACGTCAAAGCTTTTAATCTTCTTTCTTAGGGAAAAAATATTCTTCAGTACTATTCACATCAATTTTTATTGCCTTTATTTTATTTTTTTCCTGTTTTGGTGTATGTTGATGACAGTAAATCACTGGGTCTGATTTACTTCTTTACTATTTTCCTCTCAAGTTTTTTGCTTTCTGCCTTCTGGGTTGTTTCTGAATGACCGTTGAAATGTGGATCCTTTTGTAATTTTAGGGTTTTGTGTTGTTTTCCTTTGTTTTGTAGGAAAAAAATGTACTTTTTATTGGTTTTTTGAGGTGGGATTTGTTATATTACGCTTCTGGGTATCTTAGTTTATTCAATACAGGGTTTGAGTTTCAACAACTTTGAATTAGAGAGGAGTTTGGGGTCTGCCCTGTGCATGTATGCATTTGTTCTTTCAATGTAATGAATTTGATAACTTTCATTCACTTTTCAGTGAAGAAGAGGATTTAGTTTTGTCTTCATATAATCTTGTTAGGTATATGAGAAAAGATGTTTTCGAATCATTTGAACTGAGGAGGGGGTGGAATGACTGGCTGGGTCTGAGTTCAGATTTCCGTGTTTCAGGTTCTAATTTTTGGGGCTGACTGGTGAAGCTTTAGGTGTGCTGTAATTGGGCTTGTTATTCGGCGTACTTTAGGATTGATATAGTTGTTGGCCAAGGAATTTTTGTTTGGCAATTTGGAATAAGTGGCTTAAATAAAGGTAATTGCATGGGAATTCAAACAATGGGGTCTCAAGGTGATAGCGGTAGTAATGGCAAAGAGTCGCAGTTTCAGCAGTTAACGCGGCAAACTTCAATGTATAGTCTCACGCTGGATGAGGTTCAAAATCAGCTGGGTGACTTGGGCAAACCTCTAAGTAGCATGAACCTAGATGAGCTTCTCAAGAATGTATGGACAGCTGAGGCTAACCAAAATTATGGTATGGAAACTGAAGGCACAGCACTGACCAATCAACCTGCTTTGCAGCGTCAGGCGAGTTTGTCTTTAACTGGTGCTTTGAGCAAGAAGACAGTTGATGAGGTTTGGAGAGATATTCAACAAAGCAAAAATGTTGGGGAAAAGAAACCTAGAGAAAGGCAGCCTACTCTTGGAGAGATGACATTGGAGGATTTCCTTGTGAAAGCAGGAGTTGTTGCTGAAGCTTCTACGGATAAAAAAGGTGGTGGTTCTGTTACCGGGGTTGATCTAAGTGTTGCACCGCAGTTTGCACAGCAAGGTCAGTGGATGCAGTACCCACAGCCACAATATCAGCATCCACAACAAAGTATGTTGGGGGTTTATATGTCAGCCCAGCCTATGCCACAGCCTTTAGCCATAGGGGCTACTGCTGTAATGGATGTCTCTTACCCAGATAACCAGGTGCCATTGCCTTCACCATTAATGGGAACATTATCAGATACACAGGCATCTGGAAGGAAAAGAGGTGCCCCTGAGGATATGATTGAAAAGAATGTTGAAAGGAGACAGAAGAGGATGATAAAGAACAGGGAATCTGCGGCACGTTCCCGAGCGAGGAAGCAGGTCAGCTTTCATCTTTTCTTTTTCATCTCTCATATTTAACAGTGATGTCATTCATTTTTGCATTTTTTTTTTCTAAATGTTTTATGATCTTGTTTTCTAGATTATCTAGTGACCTGAAAGATATTTATAAACAGGCTTACACTAATGAACTGGAGAACAAAGTTTCACGTCTAGAAGAAGAAAATGAAAGGCTGAGGAAACGGAAGGTTAGATTTGTCGTATAAGATACTTCGCTGATTCATTTACTTTCAATTTGACAGTGGTTGCTTTTCACTGCATGATTTCTATGATTGGTGGATGATATTAAACGCTCCAACTGTTTAGAGAACTGATCCTTTCCATCTATGCATGATTTCGGTTGTATGATATTAATGGAATACCTAATTGGTTTGTAGCTGTTCCTCTTTCAACTATCCAGCATTCTTCACCATTACCCTATCTTATAATACCTGGAAACTGTGAAGTCTATGCATTCATCCTGTTGGGTGCGTGCTACTAAGGTTGCCTCTTGACACGATGAAGTGTGCTTGATGCTTGATGTAGCCTTTCAAAAAAAAAAAAAGGTGTGCTTGATGTAACACTTTTTGTTAATGATATGCAAAGTTGTGGTATTAAAGCAAGGCTTTTAACCATCATCTATCTATATATCTTCATCTTCTTTTTTGTGTAATTATTATTTTGAAAACTTCTGATAGAGAGCTTGTTTAGCAAATATCTTCCTTTCTGTAATTATTAATCCTTGCCAGTAGAAGGGAAGTAATATTTTAGTCTGTGCACTTGTAAACAAGAAATACAGTCACTTTCCCTTGCTTGATATCCTTTGAGATTGTTAAGGCACTCAACCTCAAACAAATTCACAATAGCGGGAGAGATCAACTTGAATATAACACTCGAACAATCTCCATACACAACTACTGCCGATGACACCAAATAAAACTCTCCTTTGCATGTAGGCCCAAACAAAATTATTAACTGAGACAAATGGGCATATCATGTGGATTTCAGAAACGGGGTAGCAAACACAAGCAATAAATGGGGCAATAAAGAATCTTGGCTGTAGTAGCATTTTAAGACATTCAACTTAAAACCAAATAGAAACAGATGGGAGGCCACCCTGAATTTAAGTCCACAGCAATCCCCAACTAAACTATTGTGGGATAAATCACTTAATAGAGATCTTTATCATGGTGCTTTAGGATGAACTGTTTCTTCATATGGTAGCTAGAGATGCTCTTAGATGACTTTTACCAGAAAATTGATAAATCTTGTCAAACGACATATTTTAGAACATGAACATTACCCAATGAAGACACTTTGGGCTATGAAAGTGTCTGTTTGTAGTTGTTAGGATTTTTCCCATTGCTTAGATTTATTTGTTTTCTTACTCTGTATGCAAAACTGTGTTGGGAGCTTAGAAATGTCTATATGGAGTTGTTTGTAAGGTTTAGTCCTCTAATTTGCATTGTCATTGTTAATGTGATCTAGTTAGTGAAAATTTTCTTTTATGAGTTTCTGATCTAGAGCTTCTACGCTTCTACCCCTGCTTGAGAATGCTTTATCTGATAATCCTAAAATAACTTTGATGCATTTTCCAATTTAGCTAGGGTTGTTGGTTTATGGGAATTCAAAAGTTTGTTCTGATCTTTTGATTGGTATAAAAGTTATTCTCTTCTAGAAGCTGTTAACATTTTCTAACCTGGTCTTCCTTCATGGATACCAAATCTCAGTCTCAGACTCTAATAAGTGAAATCTGCAAATTCCATATTTTCTAAAATTATGAAGATATCATATCTAAAACTAAGAAAAATCAAAGCAAATAGTACCAATAATCTCATATCCTAAAAAAATATAATAGCATGACTCAATTGTATTCGAGCTTAGTAAATGACGTCTTAAATCAGTCTATCAGATTGGCTGCACATAAGATTGGACTTTTAATTGGGAACAAGTTTATGAGAATTTCAGCAGCTGTTATACTTCTCAGGTCTTATGTGAAGCAACTGCAAACCTAGCTGTGAACCCTTTCAGAT